TAAATGTTACACATAGGAACAATAAATAAGCAGGTTTTTGTTGTGTTTGTTCCGTGTTTTTTTGTGTTTGCTGCTCATTTGCAGGATTCATTCCTTAGTTGCCTTCTACACTAAGGAAGATAGTGTGATGCTATTCAAAGCCAGCACCATGAAGAATTATGGGCGTTTGAACTGTACAAAATCATCCAAATAAAACTTCACAATAGCTATATAAAACGGAAAAAGCTCTACAAAACTCCAGCAGTCGATTTACTTACACAAAGAGAACAGAATGCTATCAAAACACATAATGTTGGCAATCGCATCACGAATGTTGAGAATCACTGGCCGTTTTGATGCTTGTGTAGTCGGGGAGGCAGGTACGTGAAAAGACTTACGATATGACGATCAACTAAATCTCTGTAAATATCTAAGACGGACTTGTCTACGTGGTAGTGGCAGCAGGTAAGAATTCTGCCACATCTCTCTCTCTTCGTGTGGGACACCGAGTCGTTCAACGACCTGATGAACCCTGGTGTCAGAGTTTTTCAACCGCTATTCTGCCACATGACGTAGAGTTTTTGACCTCGGCTGAATAACTATCGACTATAGTGTTTTCCATTTATTTCCAAAGAGGGTTGACGTCAGGCCGGTCATAAAAGACAGCCTAAATCTTCTTGCTGAATGATTTTGTAGTGTAACATTTCAAAACATGTTGCGTCAAACATGTTCATTAGGGCATGCAGATGAAATAAGATGGACTTGTTTAAATAGCTGACAAGTAGTTCGAAAGGTACGTTAATATTGATCCAGTCTTTTCTGAACCCACCAATGATAGATAACTAATGATAGATCCAGTCATTTTTAAACCCACCGATGGACCGATATTACCTACTATTGGAGAGAGAGACTGGGAAAAACGGGCAAAAACGGGAGACGAAGTGAGCACTCTTGAAGAGGTTTGTGTTCTGTCTAACAGTAGACGACAATTAGGCTTCTTCTTTTCGTCATCATGTCTTCCAAATACCCTACGAACCTTGGTGTCAAAATAGTCTGATGTGATATGATTTGACCTCACCACCGAGTTTCCTTGTTTAAACCGACAAAAAAAAAGGGATGGAGGTTATTAATTGTTGCAAACTTTTATACATACATACATAAATCATGTCTTTATCCATTGCGGAGTAGGCAGAGCGTCAAAGGACGTAAAAATACGGTGGTTAGCGCCAGGTCTGACAAATACTTGGGTTTCAGCTATTGTCGTTAATCTCTATAGTGACAGGTTGTCAACCTGTCGCATAAAAATGCAATATAAATGAAACCCTCGAGTCCCTTAGTTACTACTTGCGACATCCACAAGAAAGAAATTGGGCGATGCTATTATGGCAAACTTTTAGTTCATAAAGTCTTTTGCGTAGCCAGCTCTCCGTCCGAGGCCGTTTCGATGCCGGCTGAAAATGGTCTGATCGCGTGCCAGGCCCACATTCGGTGCCGATTGTAAGGTACACGCCATTCAGGCCGACACAGGGACGAACTCAGGTTGACGACCCCCTGCTTTTTGGCAGACGAAATGGGCTATTGACAGTCACGTTATGGGAAAGAATAGGGTTATTGCATGTTTTATTGGCAGCTTAAAATTTGTGCCGTAAAAGAAAATAATGGATAGTTCGATCGAGTTTTTAAAATATGGGGTTATTGGTTTTTTTACTGCTATTGCACAGTGAAATGAGATATTGCAAAGGAGTCGTGAACTCTTTTTACTCCCATTTAAAACATAGCTAAAACGACTATGATGATAAAACACATCTATTTCATCGAATTCTAAAATTCATTCCGTTATGATGTGCTGGTAATTTCATAAAAAATATTTCGTGAATTATTTTGAGAAAATGTCAACCCGCTCGCCAAGAGCGGTAAATCTGGAAAAGACCCAAGGACATTCGTATGGTAGAGGCCTGAGATCAGCAGTCGATAAATACCAGTTTTTTGACACTGATATTAATCAGTTGGCGCCCCTAAATCGAACCTGCGTACCTCCCTGTACATAGAAGAAGCGTTCCCCTGATAGACCGTTTTGGACACTGTGCTGGCAATTTACCACGTGTGAATTTGGATAAGCTGGTTGATAGCTTGACACTCGTTCTGAGTGCTTTTGGTTTTCGTGTTTCATGACGTTTTGAGGTGAAGTCTTGTTGTTGGATTAGAAAAGGGGTGGAAAAATTGCGCAATTCAAATAAGTTGGCTTAGAATCGTATTACACTAACGTATATACTGTAACGTATATCGCTGGAGATATTTAAGTATAGGTAAGGTAAGGTAACAATGCATCGCGATGTGTATAGGTAAGGTAGCAAACGTCCTTAATAAACGAGGCGCTAACTCCACAGGCGAGACGTAAGACTTGAGACGGAGACGTGAGACGTGCGACATCGCGACATTCGAAACCGTTTTCATATAAAATGTATGAAAAAAGCGACGCCGTCTACACACATGAGATGTAGAATCGATGACTGCCGATAATCACGTCTGAAAGATGTCTTCTTAGGGGCAAGCTCCACATATGAGACGTTACACATGAGACACGTGAGACGTGTGACGTCGCGACACCCGAAACTGTTTCCATATAAAATGTACGAAACAGAAGAGACAAAGCTACACACATGAGATGCGCGTCGCATCGATGAAGGCCGACGATCCCACCTGAAAGATATCTTTTAGTATTAACAATTAAACTGTATTCACACTGTACTCACGGTGTTTATGAAATCTTCTGAATTATTTTACTCCTAGGTGCCTATGCATGAGAACTAAATGGCGTACCTAGGTGTACCTTTCTATTGTTTTAGGAAGTGTTTAATTTTCTAATGATAATGATGTTTGACGAACGGAAGTTAGGCTATGTTGTATAAATAATAGTAAGACCTAGTGGCACGGTAGTGCGCCGGGCAAGTTGAGAACTGAGAACTGTATGGCTAGCATGTGCATTGTAGAGGGACTTGTCACGCGCGCGAGAAGACAAAGATGTGTCAAATCGTATGGTTAACTTTTAAACTAAGGGTGTAGAGAAAATAAATGTCTTGGGTCGTATGCTACCTATACTGCTTGTAAGGCCGTACTATCCTTTTCTCGACTCAACAACGCATAATTTTTATCCAATTTTGTTTTGTATTGAGTAGAGGTCGAAGTAGATTATTATTATGATGGTCAGATTTAGTTGCATATGCTTCTGACTATTTCCTGGATAGCTGGGGTCACGCTTAAAAATGGTAGCAGATCGGCCGGAGTAAAAAAAAAGTACTTTCCTTGTATGTAGGAAATTTTAATTATAAAGTGTAATTAAAAAGTGTGGTTTCCGCTAATTCCATCCATGAAACACCTAATATCAGTCAAGATTCGATATTTGCCTCTAATCGCTTTTTACAGAGGCCCCTTTTAACTCGACTTGGCACTCTTTGTAATGTTTTTGGTAGATAGATATTTCACACGGAAATATAGTCTATCTTAACAATGGTCTTAATTTATATGTCCTGTTAAGTACGTTATATTAGTAATAGTAATAGAAAAGTAATTCGTTTCCTGAAAATTAAATGATGTTTGGTTCTCCACCAAGTGCCGTGTGGTCCTGGCTTAGAATAGCATCACCCCATATCTTTCCAGTGGGTGGCGTAAGAAGCGACTAAGGGTTTTGAAAGTTGCTGTGTATTGCAATTTTAGGCGATAGACTAACAAATTGTTACCTACTATGGCGATACACAGTCTTTTAAAATGGTAGTCCAGTATTCCTGCAAGCTTTTGAATGTGTCTCAAACGTTTGTCAAACGTGGTGTAAATAGCCGTTTAGGCTCTGCTTACCTCGCAAGGGCTATAGACGTGACATATGTACATATGTATACAGGGAGTAACAGAAAGGGTAGGTATCACAAGCCGAAAGGAGGTCAAGGTACTCATGAAACTGAACAACTTTCCCCATGGAACACGGGGAAAGAAACAAAAAGTTTTGACCTCCTACATTAATATAATAAAGAGGATAGATTTGTTTTTTTTGTTTGTTTGTATGTAATCAATAAACTCCAAAACTACTCTCCTCCAAATCAACATAAGAATGCTATAACATTCCTGAGTAACATAGGCTACTTTTTACCACGGGAAAATTCATCATTCCCACGGGAAAACGGCTAGCAGCGGGAAATATAGCAGATATTACCCGAATTAGCCAAACTGATTCAGCGATCTTCGTGAAAATAGGAACTGATATTGCTGGCATATTAAGAACCGACATGGACTACTTTTTGTCAGCACTTGAGGATCTGGAGTACCTGATGGAGGGCACCAGGAGTACAGCTAAACTATAAGAGATATGAAAATGGCTTCATAGCAATAGTTGTTCAGCATAACGGGCCGCTTCTGCTGACACATGGTTATCGAGGATCTGGAGTACCTGATGCAGACCACCAGCATCTCATCTAAACTATAAGAGATACGGTAATGGCTTCAAAGTAAAATTTGTTTATCATGACGGGCCGCTTTTGTTGGCACATGGTCATCTAAGTTCTGGAGTACCTGATGGAGGGCACCAGGAGCACAGCTAAACTATATGAGATACGGTATCGACATCATTATAGTGACTCACCAGGCACATGGTCCTAATGAGTCACTTCTGCTGGAACGGAGTAATCGACTTTTTACTACGGGCAAAGATCCAAAATCTACGGGAAATCAGGTAAGTAGCAGCGGGTGAAACCGCTGGGCGGGCCGCTAGTATAAAATAAACCTGCTGAATGAAAATAGCATTTCATTAATTACACATAAGTGATTGAATGAACAACATTATGATTGATTATGAATGAATAAATTCGACGAGTAAACGTTGACTGATGTGAAATAACCATGTTTAATCAAATTACGATTCAAATGTGTAATGTGATGAAAGTTGCACACTTTTAAAGCAAGCCAATCAGAAAATTGTGTACGGAATCCGTGCTTCGGAGAGCATAACATGCTCATAAATTGAAAGATTTATTAGCGACCGCCGGGACTTGAAGCCGGGGCCGTGGGGTACCGTCCCAGCGCTCTGCCGACTGAGATACGGACGCCTGGCGGACCCTGATGAATTTCCCAACCTCTTGATGCTTGTTTCGAAGCGACGATTAGGCGACATCTAGTAGCAGTTTTTGACACACACAAAATTAGCCTTCGCCGGGATTTGAAGTGAGGGCCGTGAGGTACCGTCCCAGCGCTCTGCCGACAGAGCTACGGACGCCTGGCGGACCCAGATGAATTTTTCAACCTCTTGATGCTCGTCTCGAAGCGACGATTAGGCGACATCTAGTAGCAGTTTTTACAACTAAATGTTATGCCATGTAGTAAGCTAATAGAGGATGAAAAATCTTTTGTATTGTGTGGGATACCGAATTTATGAACGACCCGATGGGCCTGTAACCTGTCAACCTGTCAATCGCCTACTATACTGCTAGTAGTACGGCTACGGCATAGCCGGGCTCCGAAGCACGAATTTATCTATGGCGCTCTGGTAGTATGCTTTCCTGCTATAGAAAGGTTTCTGGTTCAATTTGTGGTGGTTCAAATATTAGAATGATGTATCTAGAAATGTTCTTATATTGTTTTTTAGGGTTTCGTAGTCTACTAGAATCCCTTATCATTTCGTCAAGTCTGTCTGTCTGTCTGTAGGTATGCCACGCCCTCATAACTTCGTCAGTTTTAGAGCTATCTACATCAAATTTGGCGTGAAGATAGATCAAGTTGACCCAAATTTAGGAATATCAAGAAAAAATATCACTGTTTTTTGGACCCCCTTCCCATACATAGGGAAGGGGGTCTGGGGTTTTGATTTAAATGACTTTGACAATTTATAGGGCTTGTATTTATTTACTACGTGTATTTATGTTTATATACGATAAGTATTTAATTATTTGTTTATTATTTAGTATTTATTATTGGTATTTACTCATAATATTGTTTATTTCATACGTATTTTTCTGTTTTATCGTCATATATTAGTAATTTAACTGTGTCACCAATTTGTACCATAGTTTACCTGCGCACACCATGTCCTCTGGATTTCTCAAAGGTTGACTGGTAGAGATCCCTTAATGGGATAAGTCCGCCTTTGTACAGTCGGGGTCAAAAGAGCATACCTAGGACCTCCTCAAATGGTTCAAAATATTTCTGAAACTACATAACTTTTGTAAAGTATTTTTTCGGTTTTAAATAGAGTTGAACTAGCTGCATAGACAATAAAAGAAATAATTTACAAAAGTAATGTAGTTTCAGAGATATTTTGAACCATTTGAGGCGGTCCTAGGTCTGCTCTTTTGACTTCGACTGTACCTACACATTCTATTAGTTTTTTTAAGTGTTATTTTGTAACTAATTCTTATTTTGGTACAATAAAGTTATTACATACATACATACATACATAGGAAAGGGGGGCAAACAATTTTTTTTTCTCCTGTAATATTGAGTAGGGTGTCGTTGAATAGGTCTTTTAAAACTAAAGGGAGGTTTCTTCTAAACAAAGTCTCTAAAATGTTTCTGTCTCGAGATATTTGCTTTCAAAAGGGGCGTTTTTGAGCCATAATTTGTTCCACCTGTAACTTCTAAAGTATGCATGCTAAAAATTTCCAGAAAAAGTACGGAATATAGTTCTTAATATGAAGTTACCATGAAAACTATAACGGATACTGTACCACTAAACATTAAGGAAATATTAAAGTTTTTCAATTTGCGGTTGGTAACCATACAGCTGCAAACAAACCGGCAACAAAATTATCTTTGTAATGCTGTAAGACCTGATATTTAGACATTGACTACGAAACCCTATTTGTGAGCGTGTCTGACACGCTCTTGGCAGCTTTTTTTCCTATATCAAGCTGTTAATCGACTTGACGTCCCACGCGAGCCTACCTAAGACCCTGTATGAAAGGAGCGTGTATTTATTGGTTGCGGTGATCGCATGTCTTCGGCAACTCGTAAACTCCGCCACGGAAGTTTGTGAAGCATTTTTTGAGGTTATAATACAGGGTGGGTTTCAAACTTCTAACTGAAAGTCAATTTTGGAAGTACTTATATCTGTAAAGTGCAATATCTCTCGATTCCCGTCTCTTTCTTTCTTTCTTTTCGTGTTGGACACCGAGTCGTTCAACGACCCGATGAACCCTGGTGTCAGAGTTTTTCAACCGCCTACTGCAAGTAGCAGGCCTCTGACATGGTTGTGTAACGACCATAGGTAACGACCGCCATAATAGACAGCAACCGAGACCGACGGCTTAACGTGCCCATCCAAAGCACGGAACCATCTTATTTGCGGACAGTCAGGTGGTTCAGCCTGCAATGTCCTAACCAGACTGGGAACAAATTCACAAAGTGATAAATATCAACTTTGTGAGTGACCCCACCGGGAATTGAACCCGGAACCTTTGCGTGGCAGGCAGGCATACTAACCACTGCGCCACATCGGCTGTTGATTCCCGTGTAGTACCGGCTTAGAATAGCATCACTCCATATCTTTTTCGTGGGTTTCGTAAGAAGCGATTAAGGGATTTGAGGGTTTATGTGTTGCAGTGTAAGACGACAGGCTGACAACCTGTGACGAGGTAATACGTAGTGTTATGAATGACTCTCAAACTTTTGTAAGACGTGGTGTTAATGGCTGTTTTTGCAGTTGTTTACGCTCTACTTACCCTGCAACGTATAGAGGCGTGATAAGTATGTAGGTATGTACAGAACTATGAAGAGCAATATACAAGGTTACATTTAATTAAGTACAAAATGTTTTAAGACCTTGTTCTACTCACAAAACTAAACAACTTTAGTTAAAAACTTTTCTTCTAAATATGAAAAAGAAATTTGGACCTCCCATACAAACATGTTGAAAAAGTTCGTCATTTAGTATTGGAGGCCCAAACAATTTTTTCGTGTTTCGAAGAAAAGTTTCTCAGTTTTGTGAGTAGAACACGCCCCTAAATAAATGTAACCGTATGTAGTGTCAGCGGTCGTTGTACGGCTTCGTTTCATGAATCAAGGGGTAAGAATGTACCTAATAATCTTTCACCTTTAATGTACGAAATACAAAAGGCGGGTTTAATGTCACGCGGCAATCTCTACCGGCCATTTCGCTTTGCATGCATTATTTTGCACTGCGCTCTATCTATAATCCACCTACCGAAGTGTGATGATCATGACAAAATATTTATAGAGGAAGCTATATCCAGTGAATTGTTTTGACTTTTAACACGTATGAGGCTCTATCTCCACACTTGAGACGTTCGAATCCGTTTCCATATAAAATTTATGAAACAGAAGAGACGCCGTCTACACCCGTGAGACGCGCGTCTATTGAATTGCCAACTATAACCGTTCATGAGCTACAGCCTCCGAACCATTATTATGTTAAACCGAGCAATATAACATGGTAATTTTTTGTATGGCAGCCCCTTTTAATTTTTATTTTATTCAAATAGTATTTGTTGTTATATCGGCAACAGAAATACCTACAGCTTCTGTGAAAATTTCAACTGTCTAACTATTACGGTTTATGAGATACAGCCTGGTGAAAGACGGACAGACAGCGAAGTGTTAGTAATATGGTTCCGACGTCACCCTTGAATACGGCACCCTAAAAATAACTGCGTCCTCTTCTATCGTTTTTCCTTGTGCATGTCCCTTACGTAACTTGTTTCCCCTGTATAACGCATTACTATCACGTCCCGAGCACCCTGTATTCGCAGGTTTGCATACGAGGTTAACATGATTTGAATAAGTGGAATATTGTTGGCTAAGTTTTTTTTAGTCAGCGCTTCGTGGCTGGGTATTTTTGGCTTAGTTTATTTGTTCAATAACTCTTCTATTTTATATTTATGTTAAAAATACATACATACATACATATACATATATCACGCCTTTATCCCTTGCGGGGTAGGCAGAGCGTCAACGGCCGTAAAAGTACGGTCGTTATCGCCACGTCTGACACATATTTGAGGGCCGTTTTAGCTATTGTCGTGTATCGCTATAGTGACAAGTTGTCAGCCTGTCGCCTAAAATTGCAATACACATGATACCCTCAAGTCCTTTAGTCGCTTCTTACGACACCCACAGGAAAGAAATGGGGTGATGCTATTCTAAGCCGGCATCACACGGCATGTTAAAAATAGAACACCCTTTTATGTAAAACAAGTTATCGTACCTAACCTACATAATATGGTTTTAAATGTTTTAAGCTCTAAGGTTTTAAGTTTGTGATAGAGTTCGTTAACCCTCATACAAAATGATCAAATTGAGTTTTTATCGAGTTTAAAATGGACAAACCATAAGCTCTTAGTAAAAGTAGTTACTGCGTCTCAAGGGTTAGAGTATTTTTTTTTTATGGAAGCATTAGCACTAAGTATAAAATTACTACCTGAAACAGCCGCACTTTAGTTCAGCAACATATGCAATGAAATCCAACACTTTTTGAAATCTCATAAATTTCTTTCATCAAAAACCGGAACCAGCAAAACACCGGTAAACCATTTGGCATGTGTTAGAACGTCTTTAAAATCATATTTCATTACCAATCTAGACACACGGCAGTGTGTCCGCCAAGTTCGAGCAAAAAAAGCGACACACCGGCCGTGGGTTATATTACACGAACCATTTCGGGCCAAGTTCGACCCACCTATAACTCAAAATCTATTTTACCTACGCATATGAAATTTCTAGTATCTGTCGAGACCTACTTACTTATCTAAAATACAAAATTTCATTAATGTACCTATTGTAGGTCTTGAGATATTGACGTCAGAAAATCGCTATTTTTACTATACACTCACTGACTGACTGACTCACTCATCAAAAACCTAGACCACTTCCAATGGTCGTATTGACTTGAAATTTGGCATGGAGGTAGGTCTTTAGGTCAAGGTAAAGGAAAAAATCTGAAAATGGCCAAGTGTGATTCGGTTTTAAAAATAATGAAGGTGTAAATTCATACCCCTAAAGAACTAAAACAAAAAACTTATCTATATCTTCCAATCGTCGTACCGACCTAAAATTCGTTACGAAGGTTTGTATTTAGTCAAAGTAAAGTATAAATGAG